ATATATATATATATATATTTATATATATTATATATATGTATATATGAAAAATATATCAAAAATGCAAGTGGGTACTCAAATGAAAGCTCTTGATGAGTGTAACATCGGGATGAGCTTATATCTTTAAAAACGTCAATAGTTAAGAAAATACAGTGCAATTTAATATAATTAAGAAACGACCTTGTATCTTGAGAACTATTGACATTTTTAAAGATATAAGCTCACCCCAACATTATACTCATCGAGACCTTTAATTTGAGTATCCACATCAATTTTTTATATATTTATATATATTGTATACATGTATATATGAAAAATATGCAAAAGTGCATGTGGGTACTCAAATAAAAGCTCTTGATGAGAGTAACATCGAGATGAGCTTATATCTTAAAAAATTATAAGATAAATTTTACTATAGTTTAAGTTTTAGTCACATAATTATAGCTTATAATTGATGAAATTCCAGAGTCAAATTTCCCGTCAGTCACTATGGAATGCCCCAGCTAAGGAAATTTTTTTTATATTACCAGTCTATCTTCGATATTTTAGGAGCTACAGTAATTTAATAATTCCTACTAAGTGAAAAGTGAAAAATCATTTCCTAATCATTGTCTAGTGACTATAAAAATGACCATGACTCCTCAAATATTGATTTAATCAAAAATTTATAAGGAACTACAATTGTAGCTTAGAAAATTTTCTATAAGAAACTTCAGTATGTTCATTACTATTATTATTATTATTATTATTATTATATTATAGAGTAGTTATAATAATAATTAAATACTTACTCTATCAGATAATTCAGGAGGAAACCTGGTTTGAAATTTGACCATAGTTCCTTGGCTGTAATCCCGCTGGATAAATACTTTCATACAGTTCTGAGGCGGACTGTTAGCACCACCATTGCCACCTGGTTGTCCTCGAGACATCTCGTCCAAAGGTATCATCGTTACATGGTTTCCCTGAAAAATATTAAGTATTATTAAAATATTCTTCACAAATTATTATAAAAAAATTAAGAGCAATTTGAAGATTTTAAGAATTTCTTTATAAATAAAATGCCAAAAAAATTCTGTAAAATTTTTTCAACTACACGGAAAGAACAAGATTATACTGGATATAATCCCAGATTATACTGAGTGAAAATTTTTTTAGATAGTAGCTAGTATAATCCAGATAACAATGAGTATAATCTAGATTACAATGAGTATAATCTAGATATTATTCAGTATAATCTGGATTATACTAGCTACCATCTGAAAATTTTTTTTCTCCTCAGATGTCACTGAGTATAATCTGAGATGGTATCCAGTGTCATCTTGTTCTTTCCGTGTATTCACCATTAAAAATTTTTTACATTTAATTAATTTTTAAATTTAACATAAATATTTTATATTTTTTTTTTAACTTAAAAAAAATTAATGTCCAGTTATTTTATTACAAAAATAAAATTCTAAAAAATTTTTTTTTAATAAAACACCATTAAAAATTTCTCTAAAAAAAAGAATACTATAAATTTTTACTAATTAGATAAATAATTCAAAAATTCATATAAAAAATTTTATATAATTTTTTTTTTGTATATATTAAATGTAATGTAATATAATATTTATGAATATTAACTTTTAGCAAAAGCTATTTACATCATTTTTATAATTCACAATTTCTGTCAATCATTAATGCTATACAAACAATAATAAAAATTAATAAACATATATATTATAAATCCAATCATATCTATAATTCAATATTATCAACAAAATTAACGCTTCTTTTAATATATTCTTTAAGTTTGATCTTAAAAATTTATGACATTAAAGTTAGCAGTCACTCATTTTTTAATATTTTTTAATAAATAAATTTGCTCCAAAAAATTATTTTTAAAAAATTTGATTTTTTATTTTTTTAATTTTCTAAACGTCAATTTTTTTTCTCATTTTTTTTTAATTCAATTTATTTATTCACAAAATTCTTAAAATTATAAGATATCTGCTAAAATAATTATAAAAAAAAATAATGACAATAAATTTAGCTGTCACTTGACAATTTTTTAATTTTATTTAATAAAAAAATTTGTTCAAAAAAATTATTTTTTAAAAATTGCATTTTTATTTTTGTAAAAATTTCTACATGTCAAAATTTTTTTTTATTTTTCATCATAATTATTTGTAATAAAAATTCTTTAAATTATTAACTATCTGCTAAATTAATTTTCATGAAAATATAAAATGAAATTTTTTTTACCAATATAATTTTAAAAAATTTTACATCTTTTTTTTTTTATTTAAAAAATTATTGCACTAAATTTTTCTTATAAAATAAAATTAAAATTTTTTTTTAAATTAAAAAATTAATGGACTAATAAAAATTTTCAAAAAAAATGGCAGCTAAAAAAATAATATTGTTTTAATTATTAATGAGAACAATGAAAAAAATAGAATAAAAACAATAAATTTCACAGTTAAAATGAAAAAAAAAAAAAACAATTATTAAAGAAAAAAAGTAAATAATTAAAAATACTTACGAGAGGCATTTTAATTTTCGTTTTGACGTATTTAATTAACAAAAATAAAAATAAACTGAATTACCATGGAATTAATTTTTTTTTTCATTAATATCTTCTACACTTGTCAATTCCAGGCATTAATTTATGTATATTTATATTTTTATCTCTCAGAGTTAATTTGGTACTTGTTCAGGTCAAATAAAAGTTTCGGAATGTTCCTCGAGGTAATTAACAGTTTTTGTGATAAATGTAATCAGCTAAATTAATAAATTAACTATCAACTATTGTTTTTTTATCAGTGTACGAGGAATTGGCGTCAGCAGGAACACGAGATCGACGCCATTAGACAAATTTCACGCATGCGCGGTAAAATTTTTAAAGAGCGCATGCTTAAAACTGACAGGAATCAAAGGCGCGAAATTTAAAATTTGTAAATTTTTTAATTGCTTTTAAAGTGATAATAATGATAATAAAAATTATAATTGTGATAATTATATTGATAGGAAATTTCCTAAGCTAGAATTTTAGTATCTTATAAATTTTTTATTAAATTAATATTTTAGGAATTATGATCATTTTTTTTTTACACGCTTTTTATTAGCTTCACTTGTATGTCAGTATGTCAGTAACTCTCCGTGGGTAATTTGCGCGCCTGCGGCCTATAATTTTTCTCTACAGTCGATAAGACAGGACTTGATGTTAATTTTAATTTCTAATTATCTTTAGCCAATTTCTCTAATATTGACAAATTTTCGAATACTAACGAGAATTTTAATCCTACAAAACAAATAATAGTTTAAAAAAACTAAAAA